ATCAGGAACTGCCAGGCCTCCTGCTGTTTTGGGGAGTGTGAGTTGTGTGTACTTGAGTCTGGGTTTAGTACCCTTCCAGATAAATTTGATGAGGAGGGTGCGGAGTGCGGAGAAGAAGGTGGTAGGGAGTTGGAGTTGGAGTGGTAGTGTCTGGAATAGGTAAAGTACCCGTGGGAGGATATTCATTTTGGCAATGGCCACCCTGCCGAGCCAGGAGAAGTGAGGTGTGGTCCATTCTGTCAGGTTCTTCCGTAATGTTGCCATCAGTGGGGTGAAGTTCATATGGTAAAGTTTGGATAGGTCGGCCGTGAGCTTCACCCCCAGGTATTTTATAGCGGTGTCTTGCCATTGGAAGGGAAAATTTCTTCGGATTTGGTCTGCCCTCTTCCGGGGGAAGCCAATGTTAAGTATAGAGGATTTAGCGTAATTGATCTTAAGGTTGGCGATTTCGCCATATGTCTTTAACTCTGCCATAAGGTTTGGGAGGGAGATTTCTGGGTTCGTTATAAAAAATAGCATATCGTCTGCATATGCTGCGATTTTGTGGTGGTCTGCCTCCACTGCTACCCCCGAGATATCTGGGTTGTCCCTTACCGCTTGTAGGAAGGGCTCCAAGGTCAGGATAAACAGAAGCGGCGACAGAGGGCAGCCCTGCCTGGTTCCATTCCTGACCGGGAATGCGTCTGTATAGACCCCATTTATGCACACCCTGGCCGTGGGGGACGAGTAGAGGGCCTCTATCCACTGGCGCATGTGGGTCCCCAGGCCAACATGCTCCAGTACCGAGAACAGGTAGTCCCACGCCACCCTATCGAAGGCTTTCTCCGCGTCCGTAGAGAGGAGGAGGAGGCCCTTCGAGGAGCGCTGTGCGTGGTGGATCAGGGAGAGGGCCCGGACCGTATTGTCCCGGGCTTCCCTGTGGGGGATGAATCCCACTTGGTCAGGTGAGATTACGTCTGGTATGTGTGGATTCAACCTTGTAGCTAGTATTTTAGCGAATAGGCGTAGGTCGCAGTTAAGCAACGATATCGGTCGGTAGCCCGTGCACCGTTCGGTATCTCCCCCCTCCTTCGGCAGCAGGACAATATTGGCCGCTAGTGTTTGCTGGGGGATAGTATTTCCCTCTGTTATAGAGTTGAAGGCCGAGATAAATTGGGGGGACAATGTGGCCAGGAAGGTTTTATAGTATTTGAGAGGGAGGCCGTCTGGGCCTGGGCTTTTGCCGGTCTTCGAGGATTTGATGGCTAGGGCCAGTTCCCCCTCCGTAAGGGGCGCCTCCAAAGCCTCCGCTGCGTCCGAGGAGAGTTTAGTTTTAGTGTATTTAGTGAGGTATGCGTTCATGCGGGTCAGTCCCACGTTAGGGTCCGCCCGAGGGGCGTGGGGGGGAATCGCGTAAAGGTCCGTGTAGAAGCGGGTTACAGCTGTAGCGATTTGATCTGGCATGTGGTGTAGTTGGCCTGCGGCGTCGCGCATGCGTGCAATATATGTCATGGAGCGTTTTTTGTTGATCATTCTGGCCAGCAACCTGCCGCACTTATCCCCTTCTGTGTAGAAGAATGATTTAGTGCGCTGGAGGGCCCTAGTGTACGATTGCCGCAGGGTCCGTGCTAGTTCTTCACGGGCTGCTATGAGTTCCCCGAGAAGTGTGTCGTCTAGTGTTTGCTTGTGGGCCTGTGTTAGGGTCCCTATCTTGGCCGTTAGTTCTCGGATCGTGTGGTCCCGTGCCTTCTTCAGGGCAGAGGAGTGTGAGATGAGAATCCCTCTCATCACACACTTGTGGGCCTCCCATGTCAAGAGGGGGGATGTGTCCTGTGGTAAGTTCTCGGTGAAGTAGTTTGTCAGGGCTTGTTGTACGTCTTGGGCCACCTGCGGGTTGGATAGGAGGTTTTCCTGGAGCCGCCATGTCGTGGTTTTGGGTTTGTGTAGTGGCGATGTAAGTTGGATTGTGAGTGGTGCGTGGTCGGACCACATGGACCCCCCTATGGCAGAGTCCCGCAGTCTGGGTAGATGGTAGTATGGCAGAAAGAAGTAGTCGATGCGTGTGTAACAGTCATTCGGGGTCGAGTAGAAGGTGTAGTCCCTAGCTGTCGGGTGTGTCGCCCTCCAACAATCTGTAAGCCTGTACTGATGGAGAAGTTTACGAATTTTAAGCAGTGTGGGGGGGGTGTCGATGAGTGGCCCCTGGATGCGTCCATTGTCGGGTGTAGAGCAATGTTGAAGTCCCCACCCAGGACCAGACAGCCCGTCGTGAAGTCGTGGAGGGCCCAGAGTGTGTCCCGGAGGAATCTGTCCTGTCGTGTGTTTGGAGAGTAGATGTTGGCAAAGGTATAGGTTTCCTCCAGGATTTTACCCCTAACGAATACGTATCTGCCCAAGTTATCAGTCATGGTCGAGTCAGCTACAAAGGGTATGGATTTGTGTAGGAGTATTGCTGTCCCCCTAGATTTCCCATCTGGGTTATTGCTGTAGAAGCCTTGGGTGTATATATGGTTGCAGAGTTTCGGAGCAGCGTTGGTTTTAAAGTGGGTTTCTTGGAGGTAGACCACATGGGCTCTAGTTTTCTGACTGAGGCGTAGCGCATGTGACCTCTTTTCGGGGGAGTTTAAGCCCTTGGCGTTTAGGGATAAGAAGTTGAGTGGGGCCGGTGCGTATTTGGGTGCGGGTGTAGCCATAGTGTCAAGTCCCGTGGGTGTCGAAGTTGCCCCGGTCAGTGGGGGCCTAGGTAGGTCGAGCCCGGCCCAGGGGCGAGCGGGGGAGCGGACGACTCCGCCCGACGGAGCGCAGAGGGGGCCGCCCTCGCAATGGAGCAGAGGCACCGGTGTCAGGGGGGTAGAGATCCCCCGGCCCGGAGACCGGAGTGGGGGATGACCCTCCCTATACAGTAGACACCGACCTCACGGGGAGTGGAAGGCGCCTTGTCAACCCGCCAACAGCGGCGGCTGTGGATCAAAACAAACACCAACAGGTGTAACTTAAACCTGTGAAAACTGCTGTCGCGCCCCGGGGCGAGTCTCCCAGGGTACGGTCGAGTACCAACTGTAACTGTAACCTGTTGTGTGTCTGCAGGGACTCGCACCCGGGTCCCGACGTTGTCCTGTCTGAAGGGAGGATGTACTAGCCTACCCAGGGCGTAACCCCCTGTCTACTGTGCGGGTGTTTAGGGTGTTGGTGGACCCCCCCTCCCCCCAACCCGTTCCCCCCATGCGCATCAGTGTAGCCCCGTGGTGGCGTTTCTCTGTCCCTAAAAGTGGTCTGGAAAGCCTGTGTCCCCCCGAATTGCGTCCCGGTTAACGGACCCCCTTGTGGGTTCCCCCTTCAGTGTAGTGGTGGGTTGTGTCGCTCTGGTTGCAGCACGTCTCTGGGTTGTGTACGCGGGTGCTCATACCATATTGCGTATAGAACTGTACCCAGGTGTAGCGTGGTCTAGCACCTATCCAGTGTTGCATGCGAACCCCTAGACCCTGGGAACTTGCGCGTGCGTCGACCCTGTGGTATGAGTGATAGCCAGGCGTGGGACGTGCAGGAGCATACGTCGTGTTGTACCCCGTCCCATGGTGCTAGTGGCGTGTGCGGGTGTGTGCGCAGGGTAACATGTGTACCAAGGAGCACTGTGTTAGCCTGCGCTGGCAGATCTACACATATATACACATTCACATATATACACAATATACACACAATGGTTCATGTAGTGCAGTATACCAGTCTAACATAAGCAGGCGCATACACCATATTATACAGATATAAAGCAAGGGAGGGTACTAAAGGGCATGTCCAAAAGGGAGCCCCACGAATAGGAAGACCTACGGACAGCTCCTAGGAAAAACATATCACGTTATATACAATGCAATGGACAGTTTGAGCATGCGCGGGCGTGCATATGGGGCTATACACCCGCCAGGGAGCAGTTTGAGCATGCGCTGACACATTTACAGCGGTTAATGTAATGCAGTGGACAATTGCGGCGTGTGTGGGCGGTTATGCCATGGTACCTGCTCTGCGATGAGCAGTTGTAGGGATGGAAGGCGCAGAAACAGTGGTGGGCAGCGGGGGGCGGGGCAGTCGTGACCTGTGCGTGCGGGTGAGATGCAGCGCCGCGGATAGTTATAGCATGCGCTGGCACATAAGCGGTGGGCAGTTGCAGCATGCATGGGCGCGTGTGCCACAGAGACAGTGCAGTAGGTGCTCCCAGCGGGCCAGTGTCAACATTGGCGGACAGTACCATGTACCACAGTCCCAGGGGCCACATCCCCCGACCCGCCCTACCCCATCGGGGCAGACTGGGCCCCCATATCTGGCTGTACATGAGGTGTGGCTCAGCAACTGTCCGCCCGGCATAAGGTGCAGTTCTGTGGAGCGGGGGGACATGGTGCCAATGTGGGGTGTCCAATCGGTAGGTGGGCTAAGTTCATATCTGGAGACAGCGTCTATGTCCTGGAACGGGGCTATTTGTGCCCTAGAGAGGGCCAGCCTGGTGTTGGGCGCATTGTGGGGGGGAAGGGGGGAGAAAGTCATGCCCTCTAACGTGCGGTACCTGTGGGCCTAGTGGCCTCCTGGCGTCCCCCTCTAGTGCGTTGCGGCAGCGCCGGTCTTGGGTAGGGGTTTCTTGCGGCGGTGTAGATGTCCAGTGGGTCAGGCCATCTCATGTTGATGGCGGGCAGTTGGAGCTCCGTGCCCAGGGCTATATAGTCGCTGTGTGTGCGGACCAGGAATGGACCCCTCGGCGTGTGGACGAGCAGTCCCGTGGGCATCTGCCATCTGTACCGGATCTGTTGGGCCACCAGGACCCTCGTGAGTGGTTTCAGAGCGCGTCGGTAGGTCAGGGTAGCCGGCGATAAATCTGGAAAGAGTTGCAGGTCTTGGTTCCGGTAGGTGAGCTATTGCCGGCCTCGTGCTTGTTTAAGGATAGTCTCCTTTAAGGCAAAATTCGCTAGGCAGCATATGACATCCCTGGGTGGGCTATCTGGCGCGCCCTTAGGACGGAGGGCTCTATGAGCTCTTACAAATTCTATGGGTGCCTGGTGGTCTCGGCCTAGGATCTCATTTAATATTTCAAGGAGGATTTCTTGTAGCTGCTGGGGGGAGTCCTCAGTTTCAGGGAGGCCGCGCAGTCTTAAGTTATTGCGGCGCCCCCTGTTGTCCAGGTCCTCAATATGTCGGGCCATGCTACGTACCTGTTCCGAGGAGGTGTCTGCAGCCTCTGCACAGAAATTTTATATAGTTAACTTTTCTAGCATTTTTTTAAAGATTATTCATGTATCGATGGTTACTCAGTTATAGATTTTATTTTACTTTTTTCAGTACAGGAATTTGATTCAGACAATGCAACCATTTGCGCTTTTTGCATTTTCTATTGCGTGTCCGTTTGCAGCATATATGATCTACGCCTGTCAGATCTATGTTAAACACAAGCAACTTTGTATTGACTGTATGTACTAAGCATTTTTCTATTTAATGTAACTGTATTCGTGAAATGCATTTTGGCAGCATTTGTGCAATATCATATCTTTTACGGAGTGACTCTGCACAGAAATAAAGGTTATATTTAACCACACAGAGTGGTTGTTGTAGGCGTGTGCCCTAACAACCTTTGTGCAACTCCTCCCCCACCCATTTTTGTTTCAGTAACTGCACTTTTTTGCCATTTTAAGTTAGTTTGTCATCTGCATGGAAAAAAACAAACTCTTGACATGCTTATCACTAGAGCATACATTTTAATATTTTGTGCAGTAATTTTTTTGGTTGAATGTTTAACAAATTTCGATGAAAATAAATGATCTAATGCACATGCATTAAAGGGAGACAATAGTCACCAGAACAACTACAGTTTATTTGTTTTTGTTCTGGTGAGTAGAATCATTCCCTTCAGGCTTTTTGCAGTAAAAACTGTAGTTTCAGAGAAAATGAAGCGTTTACATTAGAGCCTAGTGGCCACTCCTCAGATGACTACTAGATGACTACGCTTATCTTTTGGATCAACAGCAAAAAAACAAATGTGAGGAAGGCTGAACTTGATGGACGCAAGTCTCTTTTCAGCTATGTAACTATGTAAGTGCTTCCTGGGGCAGTGCAGCACACTGTGCAGTACTGCCATTTAGTGTCTCCACCTTCTGCATGCTGATGCTAATTGGAGATGCTGATTGGCCAGGGCTGTGTTTGACTTGTGCTGGCTCTGATTTCCTTGACAGTCTCAGCCAATCCTATGGGGAAGCATTGTGATTGGCTCAGAACAACACTTCTGATGATTTCCCCAAACAGCAGGCATACAGGGGCAGCAGCTGCAGACTTGAATACAAGTAAGATTTGACTATATTTAGGGAGGCAAGGGGGGCCACGGGGGCTAGATAGTGGTTTTAACACTATAGGGTCAGGAATACATGTTTGTGTTCCTGGCCCTATAGTGTTCCTTTAAAAATGCATTTAATCTGTGTTTTCCAACGGGGAATTTGAAGATGTTCGATGTTTTCATGCAAGAGAGCATCCAGCATCATTTCATAGAGTAAAACGCTTTTGGGGAACAGGAATACAAATTTGGACCTAACCCTACAATGTAAACATTGCAGTTTTTCTGAAACACCAGTGTTTTACATTGCAGGGTTAAGGCGACATAGACACTGCACCCAGACCACTTCCATGAGATGAAATGGTCTGGGTGCCTATAGTGTCCCGTTAATATCCAGTAGACTCGGTTCACATTACAAACCAGTATAATGAATAATATCAACTGAATGCAGGTATGCCTCAGTGCATCCACTTATTGTGTAATATAGTAAAATATTTTGTGTAGTACCATGTGGATGTACAATTTCCAATAAGATAAAATGTATTCAGATCCAATAAGATAAAATCTAATCAGTTCCTAAATCTGAATGGCCTGTGGACTAAGGGTTGACATTTATCAGTGCAAAATAGATGATTTTCAAGTGCTAAATTCAATCAATCTACATGGAAACCAATTTAACATATGTATATACCCAGGATAGTGCCTTTCTTGCTTTGAAAGGTCTTTCCCTGTATCTGTTTGTGCTAGGGAGGGTGGTACTGCCCTTACTATATGTGTACTGTGTGGTTCTTCAGGAAGGCAGTTCTATAATACATTTGTCTAATACAAATACTATTTATGTGTGATATGCATGTCGGCATATGCCATGGAGAATTACAAGGCATATTCTGTATTTATTTATAGAAACATAGAAAGTGAAGGCAGATAAAAACCATTCGGCCCATCTAGTCTGCCCAATTTTCTAAATACTTTCATTAGTCCCTGGCCTTATCTTATAGTTAGGATAGCCTTATGCCTATCCCACACATGCTTAAACTCCTTTACTGTGTTAACCTCTACCACTTCAGCTGGAAGGTAATACTTCCTGATATTATTTTTAAACCTTTGTCCCTCTACTTTAAGACTATGTCCTCTTGTTGTGGTAGTTTTTCTTCTTTTAAATATAGTCTCCCCCTTTACTGTATTGATTCCCTTTATGTATTTAAATGTTTCTATCATATCCCCCCTGTCTCGTCTTTCCTCCAATCTATACATGTTAAGATCCTTTAACCTTTCCTGGTAAGTTTTATCCCGCAATCCATGAACCAGTTTTTAGTAGCCCTTCTCTGAACCCTCTCTAAGGTATCAATATCCTTCTGAAGATACGGTCTCCAGTACTGTGTACAATACTCCAAGTGAGGTCTCACCAGTGTTCTGTATAATGGCATGAGCACTTCCTCTTTCTACTGCTAATACCTCTCCCTATACAACCAAGCATTCTGCTAGCATTTCCTGCTGCTCTATTACATTGTCTGCCTACCTTAAGTCATCAGAAATAATCACCCCTAAATCCCTTTCCTCATATGTTGAGGTTAGGACTCTATCAAATATTCTGTACTCTGCCCTTGGGTTTTTACGTCCAAGATGCATTATCTTGCTCTTTTCCACATTACAGGGAGTGCAGAATTATTAGGCAAGTTGTATTTTTGAGGATTAATTTTATTATTGAACAACAACCATGTTCTCAATGAACCCAAAAAACTCATTAATATCAAAGCTGAATATTTTTGAAGTAGTTTTTAGTT